TATTTGACACCTGAACATCCCCACAAGATTATGGAAGGGGTCAGATACATTATTGCCAGGTTGGAGAGAAGCCATCGAAACCAGGTAGCAGCAATACAAGAGGTATTATTTAATATTTCGGTATGAACTTGATTGAGTTGTTATATTTGTGTGGAATAATGCACTAAAAAGAAATATTTTGTTTTAGCTTGCTATGTATAGGGATGCTATAGGATCCTTCGGAACTAGACTTGCCAGGAATTCTAGAACTAAGATAGATCCAGGTTATCCACTAACTAATATTTTGTTCATTCATATATTTAATCTTATGAATTGTTCTTGCCCTTACAATGCTTTTTGCATTTTAATCCAGCTGAATGGTGGGAGATATATGGTAGTGATGCACCTCACCTAAAGAGGATAGCAATCAAGGTGCTCTTCCAGACATGTTCTGCTACTTGCTGTGAGCGAAACTGGAGTACGTTCCAATGGTTGCACACTACTAGAAGGAATCGACTCGCTTCGGAGAAGCTTCATAAACTAGTTTACGTTCATTACAACTTAAACCTCCGAGAGCGACAAATAAGAAGGAAGCTTGAAGACTATGGGCCGATAGACTTAGACACAATATTTGTCACAAACACAGCAAAACAATGGGTAGTAGAAGAAAAGGAGCCAATGTTGTACAAGAGAGCGTTCCTTAAGGCTATCGGTGAGGAAGATCTTGAAGAAGGTGATGAAGAGCATGAAAGAGGAAGCAGCCCGCCAACATATCCACAATTCGTCGGAGATGTCGGTGATATTGCACCTAATGAAGGAGAGTGAGAAAGGGGTCTAAAAGAAAATGAGAGACGATTCTGAGGCCACCCAATCCCAGCCAAATTATTCACATATCGAGTCCCAACAACAAGAGGGTAAGGATGAGCACGATAGTGTAGGTGAGCATCAAGGATGGACAAGCTTCGGAGATTTTGGATTAGGACCACAACAAAACACTAACGCTCATGGATTTGGGTATAGTCAGGTGCCCACTAATTTGGATGATTCGTTTTTCGATCAAGTCAATGAATTGTCACGCAAATTCAATCAATGGCACCAGCGTGACCAAGATGAAGAACGACGTCGTCTATCATTTTATTTTTAGATCGTATGTTACAAATTGTATGCTTTATTGTAGTTCATGTGTGATGATATACTTAATCCATAATAATTCTATGTTTATCCTTTTGTGTGATGTAAATTAAATGGTAAATAGTAGTTCATGCAGAGAAAGAACATATCAATATTCGGATATTCACGCAAAGAAATGAAAATTCTTAATGGAGTACCTCCATTTCTTATTGAATTCCTAAAAAACAATATTTATAATGAATTTTAATTTTTTTTTTGGATTTTTTTTAAGGTTTAATCCGACCGATGCAGTCGATTCCCGATCCGGATCGTCGATTCGCCGATCCGAATGGGTTTTTGAGATGCCTGATCTGGGTCACCGATCCGCTTTTTAAACCACTGCTTGAAAGAGGAGAGAGAGGTAAACCCAACAAACATAAGAATCTCAACAGGAAACAGTGAGAACTTAGAGACAAATGAAACCTAAAGAGGAGAGAGAGAGGGACCAGTCTCAAAACAAGGGAGAGAGAGAGAGGCTAAACCCAAAAACAAGGGAAAGAGAGAGAGAGACTAAACCCAAAAGGAAAGGGGGAAAGGGAGAGAGAGAGAAACATATGAAACCCAATAGGAGACAGAGACACAAGGAGCAACAAAACCAAATCAAACAAAAGGGCGAGAGAATAATAGCGAATCCATATTAATACCCAAATGCACAATATTAATACTCCTTGGGCAAAATCCAAAAAAATCAACCATCCATTCTTAGAAACCCTATTCTCTCTCTGTACGCCACTCAGCTCACTCTCTCTCTACCTCACGCTCTCTCTCTACCTCACTCAACTCACTCTCTCTATACAGTTTAACTCACTTGGAGTTCCATTCCCCTGCCCTTTGCTCTCTACTTCATTCCAAAGCACCCAAATGCAACAGAAAGTGACATAGAGAGAGAGTCTGTCGAATCTCAAAGCTAGAGAGAGAGAGAGAGGGAGGAGAGACAGAGAGAGAAAATGTGTCTCGATTCTCAAGGCATAAGCATAAGGGGGGCATTTTGCAGAGGGTGTCTCAGAGTGTGATCCCTACAAACCCCACAGCTCCCTCAGAGAGGATCATCGTTTCTCTCTCTACACCGCATGCACCTCCATGATCCCTGCCCCCTACTTCCATTTGAGTGAAGAGACACCTCCATGATCCCCACCCCTAGAGAGAGAGTGAAAGAGATTTTTCAATAATGAGATAAGGGTTATTTGGTTTTAAATCAAAGGTGAGGAGTAGTTAAGTTGAAAGAACGGTAGGGATAGGGGCATGAGCTTTTTTTTTGGGTGAATAAAAGTGCACAAGTTTTTTTAAATTATATTAGTATAATACATATTTAACAAGTATATATATATATATACATATATATATATATATATATATATATATATATATATATTGAATTATTTTAAAAATCTGGGTCAGATCCACCTGTTACCCGGATTCGATCCGAATTTCAATCCGGATTAGATTTTTGTTCTTGGATCCAAATTTCGAATCCAACTTTTGGGTCCATACCCAGATCCAAATAGGGTCCGAAATTCGGGTTTCGGATCTGGATCAGGTAAATTCGCACCCCTAGCAGGACGTCAAGTCACTCAGTAGCATTGCTGAGAAATGTTCAATTTCAAGGCAAATATTGGGCACCTTTTGTGTCACCACGTTAATAGGTACCAACATGTGTCTTTGTTTTGTAGTTCACTTTAAATTTCCCATGCAACTGGATGTGAACCCCATCTGTTTTTTTTCCTAATTAAACATAACCTTTATTCTCCTTGTTATATAAAGACAAATGGCTAAGGTTGTGGTTTCCACAACATTCAACTGTGGTACTGGATAAGAAGAACCGCTGATGCAACAGCTCATGCAAATGTATGACCATGCTATGTTCGTTAACTGTTTAGGCACCCAAATAAGAGAAATATACTAGGAATGGACGAGGCCATTTCATCATCAAAGCCTTTTTCTAACTATTTGGTGTCGGTTACACGAATCCCGGTCCGCCATTATGCACTATCAGTGTTCGAAAATTCGACCGCCCGACCGCCTAGGCGATGGAATTATGCGGCTTGTCTCCAGGCGCCCGCCTAGGCACCGCCCAGTGAATAAGCGGACGAGCGAAAAAAAACCCCAGCAAGGATTAAAAAAAATGTCATTTCCCCCCCCAAAAAGGGGGGAAATGGGTTTTGGGGGGTATTCTAAACCCCTAAAACAAAAACCGTGGCTTTTAGGGTGAGAAAAACTCCCCAAAAAACTACTCTTTTGTGATTTATCGAAAGATCGATAAAGTTTTGATTTTTGCGATTTCTTCCCAAAACAAAGGCAATAGTTCGTGGGTGGATTTAGAGCTTCTAGTAGTTGATTTTGAGGACTTTTAGCGACCCAATAAACGAAGTTGTACTGACATCGATTTGATTTTGATAGTTTTAAAGTATTTCATATTTGAAAGAGGGTTTTAATTTTATTTGCTACAACATATTATGTTGCGAATTATATGTTTTTTCTTTTTTTTTTCTTTTACGATATATTTACATGTTTGGTTGATGACTTGATGTATATGTTTTTTTATTTTGCCTTGTTGACTTTGTGTATCGTTTCTAGTCTAGACTTTTAGTTTCCAACGATGATATTTGGGATTTCAAGCACTTTAATGTCTTAAAAGTTACAATCTCTTTGCAACTTGTATCCATAAATTTGTTACATGATTGTACTATTACATTTTTGCATATTTCACGAGTTTGGGGCTCTAAAATTGTCCTAAAACTCCCAAAGACTTCAAACCATGCCCTAAGAACTCCCCTGTTTTTTTGTTTGGGGCAGGGGGGTTCAATTTTGGTGAGGGCACCTTGTCTCTGGGCTAGCGCCTAAGCGGCCAGGCACCCAAAACGCCTAGGCGCCCGAATCCGCATTTTTTAACATTGTGCACTATCAATGACCATACCCTCAGACAGGCCATAAGTCGTCATATCTTTTCTGTCCTTTTGGGTCTACCCCTTGCCCATTTTTAGCCTTCCACCTAAACCAACTCGCACCTTCGAACAGTTGTTGTACTGGGTCTGCGTTGCAAATGGCCAGCTCACCTAAGGCTATTTTCTCTCATCTTAACACCGACACCTAAGTTCTCCCGAATGTATTCATTTCGAATTCTATCCCTTCTTGTCTTGCCACTTATCCATCTCAACATCTTCATCTGATGACACCATCTACATTGCTTGATTATAGAAACACAGTTTCCCTAAGAAAAATAGAAATCAATTAATTGGTTAATGGATAATCCTACTCAAAAAGTTTTATGATGAGAGAGACCAACTAATAGATTTCAAATTTCATTTCCTCATCAAAATTAGATGACTTCCACTTCGAGTTTACACATCTGATCTGATAAAACAACAGTGTTTCTGTCTATTCAAGAATTAGAGTTGAGGAACAATTATGAGCCAGGAAACACAGAATATTTCAAGCATAGATTAACATGCAACATACTTAAGACTGTATTCTGAGTAAGAGTCCCAACCGCATCATAACATAGCAGCCACCTTAGTACACCTAAAAGTTATAGAGGAAGCAGAAAAGTACAAAATATTTGGATACGACCTGACAAGGACAATGACGCCTAGAAACATCAGTGTAGGCAGTGAATCAACTGAAATCCCAGGAATTTTCTTAGCAATACTACCCCTTCCAGCAGAATTATAATGACAGCGTTGCACAATCATGTATTATTGATAGCTTTAGCATGAATGAACAAATATTGCTAAGAACATGGAAGAGAGAAAGAAAGAGGGAAGCAGGGAATTAATCTTTGACACAAAGAAAGATTGCTTCAGTGGGAAGAAAAAAAAAAAAGCAATTTATGCAGCCAAAGGCCAACAAATAGAGACAACAATATCCAGAGTAATCAATGTTCTCATTCCTACTTCATTAATGTGCCATGTAATAGCAGGTTTGCTTGTTATTTGAGCACATCGGTAAAAGGTTACTATCAAAAATGAAAATGAGAACTGCATGTATAAAAATATAGTATCAGATGCAGAATAAAACGACTTGGAATACCTTTACTCTGAGCTCCTTCATGGGGTGAGGAGTCAACAAAGCTCGGATATTGGTAACTATAGGCCCCTGAAAAAGGGAAATGCAGATGCCAGTAAGACCAACAAAAGATCATGAATGTAAGATGAAATATGCTTGAGAGAATTAAGGGCAAATTGCTCACCTGCATACCACAGACCACTATTTGATCTCCTTCATGTAGCACACCATTCACCAAAACAACATCAATAGTTGTTCCCAGGCCTTCAATAACCTTAACTTCCAAAACAGTGCACTGATCGACAAAGGAAAGAAAGCCAAAATCAGAAGTTTCAATGCAGGCATTGAATGCACATGCTGGAGAAAGGCCATAATTAGATAATTATACCTCTAAAACAACAGATGAAGGCATCACAATTTAAATAGTACGATACAAGGGTGATTAAAATTCACGATAGTGAAGGTAAAAAATTGCTCAGTAATAGAAACACACTCAAGAACCATAAGGATCATAGCAGTAGAAAATACATGGGTGACCCAGAAGATTGGTAATGAAACTTAAATGTGTAAATGGCAGAATGAGAGGTCAAATAAATAACAATAAGAACATGCCTGGACTTCACTGATATACATAAGTTTTTCTTCCATCATCTTCTGGGTTAATTGCACCAACAACATAAGAAGATCTGGAATACCTTCACCACTGAAACAATAGTACAAACAACAGGTATGAGATACAAAATCCAACAGTAGATTGACTTGACTGCACTGCAAATTTCAATATTAAGAGATCAGTTGAAGACTTACGTGATAGCACTTGTGGGAACAATACTGACATATTTCCTGATCTCTTTATTCCTATAATACAACTCAGAATTGAGACCCTGCTCCTTCAATTGCGTAATAATCTGAAATACCAGAAGACCTTAGTACATGTGAAAGATCAACTACAAATAGAGCAATGATAAATTCCAGATACATGACGTACCTGGGAAAGCCTCGTTTCAAACTCATTGTTCACTTCTCTTGATTGTTGCTTCAAAGCATTTCTTATAGGAGCATCTGGGCAATTTTTCCATCCATACAATCGATCCACCTTGACAATTTGAAGCTCCAACACTTAATAGAGATACTTGGATAAAAGATCCACATCCAATTTGACGACCAAAAAGCAACTAAAAAAATGAGTTCACAACTTCACATGCATGAGAAACTAATGTACTCACCTTATTCAAGGCAACAATGAATGGGGTATGTCTCATCTTCAAAAGATTGATAGATTCAATTGTTTGGGGCTCCAAGCCATGCATTATATCAATGACCAAAATGGCAATATCACACAAGCCAGATCCACGGGACCTCAAATTTGTGAAAGACTCATGTCCAGGAGTGTCGATAACCAGCAAACCAGGAACCCTCAAATTGGCATCGGACTTGAGCTCTTTGGTCCTCTCCCTTATATTTTCCATGGGGAAATACGTAGCCCCAATTTGTTGTGTGATGCCACCAGCTTCCCCCACTTGAACATTTGTGCGCCTGATGCAATCGAGCAACTTGGTCTTCCCAGTATCAACATGTCCCAAAATGCAACAAATGGGGGAGCGAAGGTCATCAGCGCTCCTCTTGGAAAGAGCCTCAGCTTTCCGTGCCTCTCGTTTCATGGCTGCTTCTTTTCTCCTCTTCATCTTGGTCCCCTCATCTTCACTTCCATCATCTTCGCCTTCACTTTCTTCTTCGCTCTCTTGGGTTGGTTTAGTAGGCTTGGGAGCCATGGCTGATTTCGGAATAGGTTTTTGAGGAGCTTGTGTCAATGAAACAGCAGCAGCTGGGGTAACATCTTTGGAATTAGCAGTCATTCTTTTGGTGCCTTTC